GGTTTTGGGATACCCTTGGATTGGGCGAGAACAACGTGAATGCCGGGCACCAATAATCGGTCTTCCTGTTCACCCTCTCCTGGCTTGGTGACGACGCCTGCAAGTAAAAGTGCCGTGCTTAGTGTGTGAACCTAAGTCGGTCAAACCTTGGCTCGTTGGTCGAAATTACATTGTGTGTACAGTACTCGTACTTACACTCCAGTATTTAACCGTGTTTTTCTCGCAGCTTACCATACTCGGCCTTCTCCGCTAATACAAGTGCTGTGTTTGGGCCTGTCGAACCCCCGCCCTGTGGCCGTGGTAGAGGGGATCCCATTCTTGCAGCGGTCGAGATTCCACTTCCCCCGACCAGAGAGGGGTTCGACAAACTCAACTTACCCTCGATGCTCCGTACTAGCATGGGAACGTAGCTTAGCTCCTTGGCATAAATTTGCATGAGTTTTCACTTTTCCCGCTCCCAGTCAATACCGTAAATACCGACATATCATACCTGCATAATTGAGAATGGCGCTAATACGTCCAGAACCCCCCCGCTCTACCAGGGGGGGGGCAGAGCGAAAAGATTATCTTTCAGCCCTCAGCTGAGACAAAGAAGAAGAGGAAAAAATAAGAATCCAACGGACCTTACTCGGAGATGCAACTCCAACGTCCCAGAGAGATTCTCCATTATTTCGGTTTTTACGGTAATAGTGCCCGCCCCATCAAAAGATGGAGTTCATTTAACTTCGAGATATTGCACATTGGTACGTTCGTTCTACTTGCTTATTCCGTTCCTGGAATAAATCTAAATAGCTCTGCCCTCATGAAATATCACTCACGCTTTCATGCTGGCGTCGTTTTCTTTTGCCCTACTATCATATCATCGTTTCTCGCCCGAGAGCTGCAAGATGTGCACCTTTCCGCTCCATGCCTGCGGGAATGCCGGTTGGGTAATTGGGGATTGCCCGCTAGCTTCAAGGCTATGGCGGTACCACCGTTGTATTGTGGTTTCACAAACGTGCTTTGCAAACAATGCTCCTACCAAGCGGTGCGATTGGAATTTGGAAGGATTTAGAAAAGGTCCTTTGGCGTAGGAACCAAAGCTCAAGGAATGGAGTACCGTTAGAAATGGGGTGATTGAACCCCACTCTATCACCTTGTTTATTTGTACCAGTGGAGGACTGAGAGCCAACCTTTTCCGGTGTGATTTCCCCCTCCTATTCCAAAGAAGGGAGTTCTGGACGTCATAACGTGAGGTTCAATCATTCCACTTCTTGCTGTGGAGCATTCTAGAAACAGAAGAGGGAAAAACTGCTCGGAAGGAAACGGCAGTCTGACAGAATTACACAGTAAGGAGCCGAAAATTAGTTCTAGCCCTTCAATAAAAGCTTACGAGCCTAGAGATTTAGGACTAGGCACCAAACCTATTCTTAACAGATATAGTTCCTAAAACATCTTTTGTAACCTCCTCGGATTACTCTTTTTAAAAGATGGCGAGCAAAACGCTCAGGCATTTAAAGTTAAAACTCTGGGTGAGCAACACTGGTTCCCGCGAACTTTGTATGCAGATAGGTTATGCTAAGAGTCGTTGACCGATTTGAGTAGGCGCATTATAACGGCTTTGGGACCATAAAACACTTCTCGACAATTGGGGGGGGGGGTTGGCAAGGATCTTTGGAGAGCTATGAGAAATGAGATTTACTCGACTAATGTGTTGAAAAAGCCATAGCCAAGGTTTCAAGTTGAAAATAGTGATGTAGCGCGATTGCACCAAATGGAAAATTTGGGAAAGTGGGGAAGTATATGGTTTATCACATTCTGAGCTGGGTCTGCGCTTTGATGATCAAGCCCTGAGAAACTGAGCTAGAGTTCGGTGATCGAAGCCCCTTTTGCGGTAATGCGGCACGAGACTCAACTTGAGGTTTATGGCTGGTATGTGGCAATTTTCGCGAGTAAATTAGTCAAGTATGGGATTCCAGAACCATATTCACCTGAATTCCTTCTCTAGGGAGATGCTGCCCCACTCGTGTGTACTAGGTACAAGTACAAGTAAAGTAGACAGATATTGGACAGTGTTATTGACGCCAATCCAGGTTCCATCACCTCGGATGCCTTGATGCAGACATTTCCAACGGCTTGATCCGACGGCGGTCTCAAATTAGGGCGAACCAAACCCCCCTCAGCTTACCTGAAAATTGTCCGGTCCTACTCGAGTACTATATCTATCCTCTGCGCTGTAGCCTGACTAACGGAGGATTATCCTCCTGTCCCTACCACACCTCCCCCCCCTAGGTCCACATGGCCCCCTCGTGGCACTGTTTTCAACGGGAATACTCTGGACGGCGACTCCTGGTACAGGGGGAGCTTGGGCTCTGTTGCGATTGTGGCCATCCTCACCCAACTTGTTTTTTCTCGTCCGGGGGAGATACGGTATGGTTGTAAGACGAGCGATGCAGCAAGGCGTGGTTTGACGGTACGTGACAATCCTGGCGGACGCCTTTTGTCATTATAATACGAGTACGCAGTAGTGGGTCTGTATGACAATCGGACCTTGCGTTTTATTATTACAAATCATGGGAGAACCTTTTTTTTCATTTCCTTTATAATAATTATTTGTCCTTTTCCCCACTTCTTTTTGTTCCTTCCTTTTTTTCTATCATACCCCGCAGATTTTAGACCTTACCTTACCCCTACGATTGGGGCCGTGGTCTAGAATCCGATTTTATCGTACCGGTACCACCTCGTATACCCGGTCTGTCTCGTGCCACTCGCAATTCTCTGACGTTTTGTGGACACAGCTGGATCCGCATATGTAGCCAAGTACCGTGCATCAGAGCCGAATATGGGCGCTGTGCCTTTTGTGGTTGTTTGATTGTGGAGAGCTCAAGGAAGGGGGACTTGCGGGCACTTGAGTCGAGGTCGCACTCTTCGGTTTTATGCGCTGCTGCTACTGCTTATCATTGGGCTATCTAGCGTATGCGAGTTTATGCTGGCCCAGATGTGATTACAAACCTCAGAGAAATACGGGTGCAAGGTTATTGGGGAAGGTGAAGGCCCTCGATATCCCCGCGCCCCCCCCCCCTCCCCCTCCCCACATTGGGTAGGATGTCTTAATGTTCCTGCCCTGCATGATGGATACCGGTAGTATGATAATAATAACTCATGATGTCGAGGGGAATAGACCTCCTGAGCTCCCGCTAGTCGGCCACTAACTAGAGTTAGTGGATTCCTGACACCTTACCCACTCGGGCCAACTCCGCGTTTCACATAATATCACTTGTGGGGATAGATGCTCATCCTACCGGTACGTAGATTATCATCATCATTTTTTTTTCTTTTTTCAATGCACGATTGCCTAACAATATTCGGCCCCACATCTCCTACCGTACCCCAACACCCACCCACTTCCAGTCTGGGCTCACTGGTGGCCAAAGCTGCCCATTTTTTTATCACCATCGAATGTTACGGCCACGATTACTTGACACAAAAAAGGATTCTCAACGCCAAGTGGTATGATAATCTGACCTTAGGCGGGGGTGAAAAAGTGTATCATATATCATAGCAGGGGAGTACATGATAGGGCATTCAGGAATCGTGGTGATCCTGTTCAGGGCATTGCGTCCGACCTCCGAGTCGGGTATCACGAGTTGGGCACGTGGCTGGGAGCACCTACGTTATCGTTCGGTGAAAACGTTCCAGGTGCGAGTGATAGGGTGTGACTGCACTAATGTGCTCCTCGCCTGCATTGACTCTTCATAGCTAGGCCGAGGTATATAGTACCATATGATGGTTAGAGCTATGTCTCCTGATTTTTCTAAAGCCTTATTCCCGGAACGCCGGACGTGGAAAGTCGTTGGGTTTTCGGACTTTTTGTCTGTGCGACGGGACGGGAGTGGTGGGGAGGTTCTGGAAGAAGCTGTTTCGGCGATTGGATTCAAAGTCTGCTGTTGGCCATGCCTTCTATCAGCTGATAGGTAAATAATAATAATAATAATAATAATAATAATAATAATAATAATAATAATAATAATAATAATAATAATATCTGATCCAGCCTGACCTAATAGGAGGGTCTATTGAACTTATATGATACATACTTGGAAATAACACACCATGGCGCATTGTACTGTATCCCTCGCAACACCACACCGATATGCCCAAAACAAACAAACACGCGCTACTCGAATTCAATCTACGGCGCATTACATCCCTCATGAGCTACTACTACTACTCGCAGAAATTAAATTACATATCCGAGTAGGTGAGAATCTAGGGATGATTGATAGACCCAGTGATACCCCGCTTTGGAATTAGTTGTATAATATGATAGAAGACCTCTGAAATTCTGTTCAATGATTCATGTATATTTTAGAAAACCATGCTAAAGGTTCGACATATCACACCGGTATATTGTATTTATAATGTATGAGGGCTCAAGAAAAAGGTATCATACTTGTTTCAGGAGGTTCGCGTGTGCTCCAGAGCTGCAACTATCTTTCTCGAATCCTGGAAGGCTCGTAGCAACGATCAAATTGCTCTAGTCGAATTGGTTCTGCTTGTGTTGTGAGACTGAGCACTACATCTGGTGTGAAATGCGCGACCAACGATTTAGATATGTCGCTGTACAGTACTGTACTATGTCTGGCAACTTGGTCTTATCTCTGATTGCAGTTCATTGAGGTTAGATGGGCACTGATTCATATAATTATGGCTAAAAAAAAAAGGCCTGAATGTCCCCAGGGGCTTGGAAAACAATCTGGTTTGTTTTTCCTAGGATTTCGAGGATGTGTCGTCTAAGTTGTAATGAATTTTCCCACTTGGAACAAAAAAGTTCAATACTCCCATTTTAACTTGTACAGTATCACACATTTTCAGATGTAAAAAAAATATGTACTCGAGTAGCTAGTAATTACCGATATCATCAACCATCTTCTAGCTATATGTACTAGTATCATAGACAATACAATTACTCTAACTCTAAATTTTTTATTATACATGACCATTATCATGACTTTTCAAACTTTTTTCAAATAATTTTCTGGTGCCGTGAATTTAAAATGTAGACTTGAACCAACACTACCGGTAATTCTCAACCATCTGAGGAAGAGGGTTATACTGGGGGATTCTAACTTCAAAAGGTTCACCAATCCACACTATGCCTTCGCCAACCCACACGCCGACCGTATCCCGAGTACCAAAAGCTCAACCCACGACCCCAACCCGACCCAGGAAATGGAAAATCCCATCCCAGAACTTCATTGCCCTACCGATGATATCCTCACCATCTCCATCCTCGAGTCCTTCCAAATTATCCCTTCGCCACTCAACAATACCGTAAAAGAAAGCCAAAAAGCACTCGGCTCTATCTAGCATTTGATCTCTATCCTATGCAAGTATCCTAAGGTGGCTAATCGTCAACGAAGTGTATCCTAGAAAAGTTTCTCTGCACTCGGCTGGTTGTTGAGGAGGGGACTTGTAGCTTATTCCGAGCTTGTCGATTGGGGGGATAGCGTAGAAAACTAAAGGGGATCTGGGTGTGGTTAATGAACATGGGGGATAGGTTGTTTTCATTGGTAATAATCATAAGGCAGCAAAGGAATGGAATATAAGAGTACTCGTAAACAGGCAGGTGAAGGGGGGCGGGATGAGAGGGGGAAAGGGAAGGTTGGAAAGGAAAGGCAAAGAAGCGGAGAAGGTTAAAGAGCCGCGAAGGGTAAACAAGACCGGAGTGGTGGGCGAGACCGCAGTAGTAAATTGGGCAGCTAGATAGAATACCATGCAGAAGCTTGGTGAGAAAGAGGAGAAGAAGGAACGGGAGAGATAGGAGGATAAGCTGGCAGTGGAAGTGCTGGTAGAAGGTCAGGTGAAGGCAGGAACGGAGCGGAAGGGGAGGTGAGGGAGATGTTTAAGGGTGGAGGTGAATGAAAAGAAAATGAGAAGAAAACCGGGGACGGCAAATTGAAGGGGAAGGTGATACAGATGCAACAGCGGGAGCAGAAGGGCAAAAGAGAAAGAAAAGGAAGCGGGAGAAGAAGGAGGGGTAGTGAGGGAGGAGGAGATGTAGGGGGAGAGCGAGGAGGGGGAGAAGATGCGGAATAAGGAGAAGAGGAAGGAGAGGGGGTACCGTACTCGAGTACTCGTACTGGTAGCGGAGGGAGAAGCGTATTGTAAGGGGAGGAAGAATGAGGCAGGGGTTGAAATAGCTGGAGACAGGGAGCTGGAGGTGTTTGCATTCATTGGATGCAGTTCCCTTGTGGGATGAAATTTCCTATTTCTTGATTGGGGTGCTTTTAGTCTACTCGCCAAACCGCGCTTGAATCTAATTACTAGGTAAACATTCGACTGGCGTGTATTTCACCGCTAGGTAGTGTCATAGTCTAACAGTCTATGGAATTGCGATCGCTCTCAACCTATGAAAGCCCAATCACCACAGCCAACCCACCCCAGTGGAGCCACATAGAGAATGACAAAAATTACGAGGCAAGTTCGAGCATACTATATCACATATCCAAGGGATTCCCCACGAGCAACGATGTGGGGCCATCATTTTATCCTCCCCTGATGTTTTCCAGCCCCTCAGTAGGATTAAAGGCAGATAATTCATCCCTCCAAACTCCTGTTCTCCGTTGGTATTCACGAGCGTACTTTGTCCTCGCTGGTTAGGAGCCCGGGCCACTCTTGAAATTTGAGGCCAATTTCATATATCGGTACCCGGTTCGTGACTAGCAATCCATATTAGAAAAATATCTGTCGCTCTTCCTCTATAGTTTTTCCCGTTCCCAGAGACTTGCTCCGGCCGCCAATTTATTCGAAGGGGTTCCTCTGCCTTTCCGCCTGCGATGACGTGATTAAGGGATTCTATCATGGAAAGTTCTCAAATTTCCTTCGCCCACGATTGACCGCTGATGACCTGGAAAGGTTCCGGTGTACGCTTTTATAACTTTGGAGGCCATGATCGGAATTGCTAAGGTGTCTTGTCATAGAAAACAGGAAACGGAGCCTTATAGTACACGACTCCCAGTTAAACTCTTCCGAGGATCACTTCGACCTCACCAGCATCAACAGTTGCCGAAAACATACCAGCAATGTCCGCCTAACCTTAGTGAGGTTAGAAGTTTCTGGAATGGGAACGATAGATAATTGGCAAACTGCACCAGCATAACTCCCTTCCGTTCCGCCACACCCTGAAGAGCGCTCATAGTGTTCTCTCGAATACCCCCCAACAAACTCCCGATCCCAAGTGCACCGCCACTCCCTCCATGCTGCAAACTCAAGAAAAGAGGAACCCCAACTCGCGAGACTTTCCCCTTCAACTTCAACGCAAACAATTTGATGCACAGCATGCGCTCTTCAGATCACCCTAGCCGCAGCTGATACCAGAGATCTCATCCTTGCGAGCCAACCAACTCCGCTACAGCGCCGATAGTGTCTTCCATGGGGACGCGCTTGCTCGGGAAGCAACGAGAAGATGTCCACCTGCTTGCGCGGGTCCCAAATCCAGGATGGGGGTTTTAACCTCTGGCAGACAAAGTTCCGGTGGAGGCCACCTGTGGATCTTTTCGGCCATAGTGTCGGTGGTTTTGAGGAGAGCGTAAGGGGAGCTGCTATAAAACACCCTTGCCGCAGTGAAGACGTGAATACCAGATCCCGCCTCGACCGCCTCCATCAAACTGAAGCCCACACTCCTCTCCGAGTGCTTGAAGTATAACAGAAGGCCTGGATATGGGAGGATGCCCGGTGCCACCTGGACCTCCTTGGTAACCTCCCCCCTGAGCATAACGATGGCCTCAACGCGAAGCCTATTCCCGCCAGGGACGCTGACGGGAAAAATGCATTTTATATCGTTTCGTTTTGTGTTTGTGGATTATTTCTTTCTATTCCCTTACCCGGCGCGCCCACCATCGAGTAAACCTCACGGACAGAATTTAGTGGTTTCCTAAAGAAAGGAGACAAGCAGGAACTGGAATAGAACCTTATCCCACCGGCACCCCTGGTCTGCTGGTGGGGGGCAATTTTTTGCACCGGGCCTCCGAGATAAGTGGTTATATAACATGACTCGTACTACCAAAAGGAGTTCCTTTTTTCTTTTTCCGAGAAAAACTATGTCAACGAGCTCGAATTATTCCTTGAGTTGGGGTAGGCATAGTCTGCATTATCCGCCGCGTGTGGATGGGGAGCAAGTCAGTGGTGCAGCACTGAGAACGAGTGACAGTTTATGATGCTCTACTTAACAACCGGTTGGTGTGGCGTCTGGTGATGGTGGGTAGTGGGGGGGGCGGTGAATACAAGGGGGAATTTTAAGCCCACTTGAGATGCAAGGGCGGGTTTTAGCGTGGAAAGGTTACTGTGGTCTCATGGAACCAGCAGGAGGACACAGAGGATGAGGGGGTGGTAGTTTTTTGGGTCAAGTTCGCCAATATCACTCGTCAGACTGACTACTCATATGATAACGGGGTAATTTGCGTTATCATACCAGAACAGTAATTTCACCCTTCTCCGACAAGAGAGCAAAGAGAACTGAGTAAAGATATATCTAACACATCTCACCCACAACAAAAATAACCGCTAAAGCCTACACCTCTCCAGTCAAATAATCGAATCCACTCCATCCCCCCTCCTTCGGTTCAAATTCCGCAACCTCGAACGACCACTTCACCAGCGCATTATCAAAATTGTCCAACATCCACGCAGCGGTCATATCCATACCAGCCGTGACGCCGCCACAAGTCCAAATATTCCCATCCCTCATCCACCTCCCCTTAGGAACCCAGTGCGCCCCAAACGCATTGTCCTGCCCTATCGCCTTCAGCAACATCTTGTTACTCATCGCCCTCTTCCCCGCCAACACCCCCGCCTTCGCCATCACTAGCGAGGCCGAGCACACGGCGAGCACAGCCTGAACCTCTTCAACCCGCGCGACGATAAAATCCTTCACGTCGTCGCGCAGGGGCGCGAGCACGTCGGTGCCCGGGATTATGAGGACGTCGAGGGGCGGGCATGTGGTGTACGTGGTTGTCGGGAGGAGATGCGGGCCCCCGGTAGCGCTCATGGGGGATAGGCTGTGGGAGATGTAGTGCCATGTTATCCGCGGCGCGAGCGGGAGGAATACCTCCGTCTGCGGGAGCTGGGTGAGGAAACGATGGGAGATATTTGTCAAAAGGTCGATTGGCCCGGTGCTGTCCAGGAGTTCGTGATTATCAAGGAGGAGGACGCCGATCGAGAGGGTGGGAGCGGTTTGCGTTGCTGCCATTCTTGAGGTTTGGATGCTGGAGGGAAAGAGGGAGGGAAGCTGTGGAGAGGAGTTTATATATCTATAACTTGAATCAGCTCAACCCCACTTTACGATGAGAGCAGAGAGGAGTATAACATTGGTTGCCCGGGAAAGGAACGGAGCAACAAACTCCCCGAACCAAACCCCGCGTCCAATACTGGAGCAGCTTCAGCTTATTTCTGCAACTACTGTCTCTAATTGAGACGAGCATGATAAGAAGGCCGTGCACGTTTACCAATCAGATCTTTCGGGCACTCTGGGTACCGGCATGAAAATAGTTCGGACCGGGATGCTCAATGCCATGGACGACCAATGCTATCCCTTGAACCAGTGAGAGGGTGAGACTTTCCAGTCCAATTTACAATCTGGGACATAAGCCTATTCGTGTAGTCATGACTACCTCTGCTACGGCGACATTACTTCTTGATCGTTTCTATCACTGCCACGATGGATACCGGTAGCATAGTACTAGTACATATGTTGCGGTATTTTGAGCACTGTGGTTATATCGAGTCCGTGCTTGGTGAGGGGGCGAGGGGGAAGTCTGGATTGTCCCTAATCCTAAGCAAACCACCAGTCTGTGCTACCGCTCTGATCCTCAGCCGTTGCCACGGGCTGGCGTTTAACGACTTTAGGGACAATGCATACTTTTTCCCCTTGGCAAGTAGCCTTCCCTAACGTGATTTACGGGTATGGGACACCAATTAACTTATAACCTAGTAACCGATTATCTGTATCATCTAGTGTAAAATTAATCCTGCATTTCAGTACCCCTATAAATAATAGGCCTGCCAGAATGGGAATTTATTTGCGAGCACCATACTTTGAAATATGGAGTCAGAATACGCAACTCTTTTGTACAGATTTTAATATCATTCCGAAGGATACAAATTGAAAAATAGCTAAGGAGTACTTTCTTAAGTTAATAGTATCGCAATATTATATCATACATGTGCAAAATGACAAACAAGGGGAAAAAGTAGGTAAATAGAGAACCCCTAGAATCGCGACTCGACATGTATTATCATTCGCAGGCAGCTCTAGGCAAAAACCCAGACCCCTCCCCCCCAAAAAAATGCCAAACCACCTACTTTAGCGTAGCGATGCCATCGACACCACCAAGCTTGATGTCATCTACGCCATTCACGCAGTCAATCTTCACAACCCCGTTGATGCCATTGATACCACTAACCTGAGGTGTACCCTCAGCCTTAAGCACCTCCTCCGTCTTGCTAACAAGAATCTCGAATGCCCTCCTCAGCACCTCCTCTCGGATCTTAGGCCCACCGCCTACAACACGAATGGCATAGATCCCGTCGATAACCGTACTAGTGATAAATATCTCCCCATCGGCGTTCACCGCCTCATACACAACTCTGGTAAGGCGGTTACTCTCCTCCCTCCGTGTCGTCTTGATTGCGAATACTGTAAGTGCAAACGCCGGCGGCACGACGATTTCGAATATGTCTGCGCGATCGCGCACCCACTGTGCGAAACTCTCCCCATGCCGGATCGAATCCCAAATATGCCTCTGCAGTCCCGAGACCCCGTAAGAGCGCATCACGAACCAGATCTTGAGCGCGCGGAACCGGCGGCCGAGGGGGATTTGCCAGTCTCTATAGTCGGTGACTAGACCTTGCTCTGAGAATGGGTTTCGGAGGTAAGGGGGGGCTATAGAGAGGGCGTCTAGTAGGTGCTTGCGGGTCCTGACGTAGAGGCACGAGCAATCAAAGTTTGTTAGCAACCATTTGTGCATATTCATGTTGAAGCTATCGAAATGCTTGAAGGGGGCCGGGACATGATGGTATTGCGGGAGGATGAGAGCTGCGCCGGCGAACGCCGCGTCGACATGGACCCAGAGGTTTGGGTAGTCCTTCAACACAGGGACTATGGAAGCGAAGTCATCAGCGGCGCAGGTGGCAGTGGTGCCAAGAGTTACAGTTAGGAAGAAGGGGTGTAGGCCTTTCGCTGTTAGTTCTTCTAGGGCCTTGCGAAGGAGTGGGCCCGTTAGAACGTAGTTCTCTGTGGCACTGCCGGGGACTTGGATGGAATGATGTTTTACGCCGGCAATCTGACAGCCTTTTTGTGTAGAACTGTGGGTTTGGTCTGAGAATAGTGCGACAAGTTTTGATCTATTGTTGTCAATGATCCCCTCGCTCTGTTCCACCGATTTGCCTGCGGCAGCGAGATTGCCCAAGTATCGTTCCCTTGCCGCGACGATGACTGTGCAAATAGCCTCACTGGCACTCCCCTGAATAACTCCCCCACCGCCATTCCTGCTCGTGCTCAGAAAGCATTCCGGCAGGTTGAGCAACCGCGCAAGCCAATCTAGGACAATTGTCTCCAACTCTGTCGCGGCGGGGGAACAGAGCCAGTTGAAGTTTGCACTATTGAAGGTGGCAGAGTAGAGTTCTCCCAGGATACCGGGGTATGAGGAGTTCGCGGGGAAGAATGCGAGGAAGTTAGGGCTTTGCCAATGGGTTATCCCGGGGAGGATCTTGGATTCTATGTCTGATTGAATGTCGGCCCAGGGTTCAGGATTGGCTGGGGGTCCCGAAGGGAGGAGGGGTTTAAGGTATCCAGGCGAGACGTTAGAGACTACGCGGCGGGATTCGATAGTGTCATAGTAGTCGATTACTATCCAATGGTCCGTTTGTTAGTTGCAGGCAGACGTTGGTAGAGTGAAGCCGGTAGGGGCGGAGGGAAGGAGGGAGGGAGGTTACTCTGGTCAATGGCAGAGTAAGCAGCTGCCCGGAATTGCTCTGAATCCATGGCAAGGAGAAAAGGGGGGAGAAAAGGGGGGAGAAATAGGTCCGCAGATAAATGGGTGAGACGGAAAGGTAAAGTCAAAGGCAAAACGGAAAGCGGAAAGCTAAAAAGGTTCCTGTAGATGGATTGTTTATATTCACGCGCTCACAGAATGTGCAGAAGGGGTGGATCGATTTTTTAGAAGCTGGTGAAATGATTTCGAAACTCGAGGCTCTGTCCCCTCCCCCCATTTATGGGGATAGCGGGGCTGGTGGGGCGATTTATACCAAAATATTCCTCCCTGCCCTCGCTTCCCGTTCCCCATTCCCTGGGCTTCCTTTCTCCCTCTCTTTCTTTCCCCGAGCGTAGCAACTCGTGCTTACCGAACTACTCGAGTACCTTGTGTTCCTCCCAGCTTATCCTGATCCTAACCCAACTTTGGTGCCCGCGATATTTCGCCATCCTGTTGCACTCTGCAAGCTCAATTCGCCAATCACCTAACTTAAAGGGGAAAGAGGAACCAACCTCTAAAAGGTACTCGAGTAAGCTTACCCTTTCCCCAAGCGTCTTCGTTAGACTACTCAAGCACTTGTACAGGACGGGTGCTAGCATTAGACTAAGTGGATTTAGCTGGTTCGACGCACCGCCCGCTAGGGTAAGGAAAGAGGAACGACTCCCCGCTCCCTATCCCAAGGCTTTAGCAACCACAGTCCATTCCGGCTGCTTCAAGTACTGCACTGTGCCAGTATCGGCAACATGCAGGCGGGTAGACTGGTGGGATTTGGGGTTGATGAGCGAAAGCAGGGCAGGGCGGGATCATCTCCTCTTCCCCTTTTGTTTGCTTATGGAGGCAGTTTTGCCGTGCCGTACCTGAGGAAGTAGACCACGGGTGCTGTCCTGTATGAGGTATACTCGTGTACCTGAGTAGTCTGCAGTATCATAGTAGCACCGGTGGGGGAGAAGGCGGCTGGGACTGAGCTCGTGAAGCTTCGAGCCAACCATGGTGAGCCACCCGAACGGTACCGTGATTCTTTCCCCACCGTAGTTCGTGATAGAGATGGTTGTGGAGAGTTAATCGGTTATGGTACCGAACACCTTGACTACGGTAGGCTATGCCTCTCCACTTGTGTGGCAGTCCTGTACAGTATTATAGCCACCTGGAAGCCAGTGGGAAAAATAGCGGTGCTCTAGGAGCCTCGAAAATGATTTTGCCACCATCAATCAAACTCCACCCCAGAAGGTTGACCCCCAACGCACAATACCACGTTAACCAGCCGGGGTGAATACAGTACAGTGCTGTACCAGAGCACGGCTGTAGCTGATTCTACACGGTCAGTCTAGCAGACCGTATCTGGATATCGTAGTTGCTCGTGTATGGCAAGTTGAAACGTTGCAAAGGCACTTGGGTCGGACTATGCCGTGGTATTACATACAAACTGCACATTGCCACTACTGTGCTTGAGTGCTTTAGGGCTGATATTCGAAACTATCGCAGCTGAATATCACCTTCTTTTCTCTTACCCGCAAGGAGTGGAGCGGATTCACCCGTACCGGTCTGCGGTATTACCCGTAGCGTGCAGAATTGCCGTGTAAGTTGGGGCTCAAATTCAACTTGTTCGAATTGTCGACAATCATTCTGTACTGTATCATACTCGAATGCCATACCCTACTGGTGCGGTACGGGCATCTTGTGCAATTCTTGCTCAGCTATTGAGTGTCATCCTGCAGGTATGATAGCAGCAGCAGCATGTATGATAGGGTACAGTGATAGTACTCTATCGGTAATCGAGCACTCGAGCAGACTACAGTACGAGCACATCTCACTGTCCACCTCCCCGTTGCTGTCAGATCATAATAATAATTCTGGCTAGTTTGCCCATTACTCTCCTTATTCACCCGACCCTCACTTCCTTACCCTCCTCCTCCTCCTTAGCTTTTCTCTCCGCGCCCGCTCTCTTCGCCTCGGAGAAATCACTTTCAATTCCTCTTTCATAGGCCAACCAACCATAGTCTAACTAAACGACCCAGTCAACATGGCGCCAACAGCTACTGCAAAGGTTAATGGAACTGTCATCGCAAGCTCGGACCTTTACGAGACAGTCGAGGGAAACATTTATGTGAGTGTTACAAGGGCACCTAATTTATTCCACCTCTTCGCTCCGGAAACCCGGTAGTCTACCCCACTACTAACTTACCGGCAATCTTTCTTTCTTTCTTCTTTTTTTTTTGCACGTCACTTTGTTCAGTTGCTGATTCTGGTAAAATATTCCCCGATAGTTCCCACCACAGTACGTTTCCAAGACAGCAGAGCGCTTATCCGCTGCGGGGTGGTTGCTAACCTGAATATCATAGCTCCGTGAACTCGGAGTTTCTCGAAAAGTCGGATACTTCAAGTTATTGTCCGCGGAAGGGAACCGCAGCGTTTTACAATGTCAAAGTTGATGGTAATTAAGACTCTTTGTTTCATTTCCCTCTTATCCCTAGGGCTATCTGTTACAAATAGTGTCCCTATTTTCCGGCACGAACGTTGGGAGCATTTCTAACACCCCCTCCCCAAACTTTCAGGAGTCACAATCAAGGACGCCGCTTGGTGCTACCCAGAACCAAAAGACAAGTTCAGACCGTTCAAAGATTTCGTGGCGTTCTGTATGTATGCACCGCTAATGCTCCATCTGAAACGAGTTCCCTTTCGTCTGCGTTAGTACCCTCTTTGCTATCGTGATACTCTTTTTACTCTCTTTTTTCCTTTCTTCCCCAGATTTACACCCCTCCCCCGCAATCCTTCATACCCAGAAACGGCATGGACTAACTTCTCTACCCTACAGATAAAACGAAGCCTGTCATCGAATCAATACCAGAGTAGACCTTGAATAGATACGATGATATGATTGATACCCACCGGAATATGGAAAAACTGATGAGAGGGGTGGGGTTTTTTTATTCAATTTCTTAACTTGCTTCTCCTTTTGTTTGGGGCTGCGTTTTGTTTTTTCGAATTCTTGCATCGGGGTTCTTATCGTATTCACCCCCTCTGATGCCTGTATGGTAGCAGAGGAGGAGGGGAAAAAATGAGGACAGGCCTTCCCTTTTTGCAAATTCTGAAGAGGGGAAAAACTTTGTCGGATTTTTCTGCAGAATGTGAGGCTGAAGCAGAAGTTGTTTTGCCGAATTCATATGACGTCATGCACGATAAAGTTGGGTGTTTGGGCCAAGATCAACAGTGATCCGGGATCTTGGGCTAGGGCTCTTTGGGGTTCGGTTGGAAGGGTTTTCAGTCACCTGCGGAAGGAATAGAGATTTGACTCCACGATAATGTTGGTACGGTACCATACCCGCTATCTCTCCATAGGAAGAGTGAGACGTCGCAGGGACGGCTGGTTGGAATACCGGTGCGGGACGATACGAATAGAAAAGAATGAGATGTGGTGGGTGTGCTGTACGAACTGTATGATACTCGAGTACCGGTACTGTACTGTACTGTACGTGTCAGATGCCCATGTTATTCGCGTCTCAAGCCTCTCTTGGAGCAGAGCCTCTTCCTATCACCATGAATCCTCTTGTCTCCCACATTTACCCTCAACCTCACTTCGACTTCCTCCATCCAAAGTCTAACGCCGGCGGCGGAACCAAATAAAATCAAACCAACTGTTCTTCTCCGTCATACTAGGGGGATTTTGAATCTCCTCCCTACAGCTAGTTGTCATGGCATCCCCGTCGTTCAACTCTGCCGTGTTCGAGTCCGCCGTCTCTCCCGTTTCCTCTGAACCATCCGGGGCCCTCCCCACCATATCTTCGCAGGACACCCAGTCGATATTCTGGCTATCGGCCTCTTTGGCCTACTCTATCGTTTACCTACTTCAGCGGATATTCTTCTGGGTGATATCCTTCTCGACTTATACCCTACCCACATGGCTATTTACTTTGTTCAGCACCAGTTTGACATTTACCATGAATTTCACTACTCTGTCCGTTCACCCGATCCCTGACTTTTTTCCCGGGGGTTTTTGCTAATACGTGGGATGCGGTAAAGGCTCATTATATTCTTGATCTTCGGGTCGATAGTATCGTGGGCTGTCAGGTACAGGTTGCTCTATAATTACAACCGGCTACCACACGAGCCCCAGCGAAAGGAGCCTCAGATCGACCTATTTCCTGATTCGCAAGAGGGGGACTCTAAGCCAGGGTTCTCGAGCTACTTGGACGAGTTCCTCAGTGCTATTAAGGTGTTTGGGTACTTGGAGCGACCGGTATTCCACGAGCTCACCCGGAGTATGCAGACGAGAAAGCTGATTGCCGGTATTATGCGCCACTCGTCAACGCTTTATCATCTGTGCTGGGCTAACACCGCGATTTAGGGGAAACTCTACTACTCGAGGAAGAAAAAGGGTTCTGCATAGTGGTTGATGGTTTAGTTCAGGTGTTCGTTAAAGCCAGTCGCGATGTTGGAAACATGGCTGCAGCGGCTTCAGGGCCCGGTTACGGTGGTGCATTTCATGACGAAGAGGAGGAGAGGATCGAAGATGGGCAAGGATATCAGTTACTCACCGAAGTAAAGAATGGCGCCCCGATGAGTAGCTTGTTTACCATTCTCAGTCTCTTTACCGAAGATGTTAAGCTACGGCACGAAGACGAAGACGAGAGTGGTCCTGTGAGTACTAGTAGTAGTATGGTGAATCTTCACGCTGCCGGGGACTTGGCCCACTTTGAGGCCGAAAGGAACCCCGCAGGATTGCCGCCCGGAAGGAGCGCAGATAGTGGACGATTTCATTTGCCTCCCGTGCCTCCGCTATCCTTGAGTGGCGACTTTACCCGAAGTAGTTCGCGGCCAGTGACGCCGCATGATCAACAACCCCCGCGTCCCCAGAGACCTCGAATAAAAAAATCCAAGTCCGTACACCCAGATATTGTCGCTAGAGCGACCGTTGACACCACAATTGCGGTTATCCCCGCTAGCGCATTTCGAAGGTTGACTAGGATTTACCCTAAAGCGACGGCACACATCGTTCAGGTTATTCTCACGAGGTTTCAGAGGGTCACATTTTTGACTGGTTACAGGTATCTCGGCCTTACGGCTGAGGTTCTGAGGACTGAGAAGTTCATGAATAGATACACTATGTATGAACTGCCGAATCATCTCCGCGGGGAGCCCCTTGAAAGACTAAAGGAGAAGTTTGAGAAAGAGCAAGAGAGGGCGGAACCTGAGGATTCGATGAAGGGGATAGTCCTACATAACCCCGATGTGAGTTCGGGGAAGCGGAGGAGGTCTAGTAGCTCCCTTCGCAAGGAGGCGGTCATTCATGCTCGTCTTGCTGCTGCCAGGGGTCAGCCATCCCCTGCATTGGATACAGCCCCCTCACCGTTCAGAGATAATAGAGGAAAGTTTAAGGGCCAATTTGAACAAAATCACCCAACTGGCCAACTTGCGCCATTCTCTCAAGGGTGGACTATGTCGGCCTCAAGTATGGGGTTAGACACGCCCATGCCCATGACCGAGAAAGCGTTTAATCCATTTGCACAACGAGCAGCTCAAAAGTTCAAGGCCGACGGGCCTTCAGAAAACGAAGACTCGGCGTTCAGAGAAGCTGTATTAGAGTGCATGTTCAAGGCCATTGGGTTAACCGGATCAGCGGTGAATGTGCGTTCTGGCACTGAGAGTGGAGAGCAGAGCCCTCGACTTGTTAGCTATGATGCCAAGAGGCAGAAAGCCGTTTTCTCCAACGCCTTTGGATATATCGACCCTATCGAAGGCGATGGAGAGACTGAATCCGCCGCTAGCACCAGTGGGTCCGGTGCAAGTACCGGCGGATTCGTGAATGTCGGCATCAGCGGTGTCCATGCTGAATTGAAGGGCGAAGTTGAGATTGTATTTTTCCCTAAAGGATCCGTATTGGTTGAGCAAGGAGAGAGAAATCCTGGACTTTATTACGTTATTGATGGATTCCTGGACGCCAGTATCCCAGTCGATGAAAAGACTGAGAACAGTAATGTGCTAGGTGGGAACTCGATGAACCTTGGATCACTTAGTGGTGACCATGCAGAGCACCTACCGCCAACGAACGAGAGGAAGAACTCGTTTGCTTCTAGGTCAGGAAGTCCAAAGGGAAAGATAGGTAGAAAGAGCCTTTTCATGGTCAAGCCCGGAGGTATCGCGGGATATATCGGAAGCGTTAGCAGCTATAGAAGCTTTATTGATGTTACTGCCAAGACGGATGTTTATGTTGGCTTCCTGCCTAGGGCTGCGTTGGAAAGGATTGTGGAGAGGCACCCCGTTGTGCTCCTGACTATGGCTAAACGCTTGACGAGTCTACTGCCGAGATTGATTTTGCATATCGATTTTGCGCTTGAGTGGTTGCAGGTTAATGCCGGGCAGGTTATATATCATCAGGAGGACGAGAGGTATATTTTGACCCTGAATCTCTTCGGACTGTTACTAATTGTGTTTTAGTGACGCTATATACATTGTGCTCAATGGGCGGTTGAGGGCCGTGCAGGAGGATGAGAAGGGCGGTATGAGGGTGGTCGGGGAGTTTGGCCAAGGAGAGAGTGTGGGCGAACTAGAGGTCATGACTGAAACAACTCGTCCCGCTACACTTCATGCTATCCGAGATACGGAAGTGGCTAGATTTCCAAAGTCGCTCTTCAATAGCCTCGCCCTAGAGCACCCTGGGATCACCATCCAGATATCCAAGATCATTGCCTCCAGGATGCGGGCCTTGATAGACGACCCCCTCTCGGAACAGCGTAGAGGGGCAGACCGGAGTAGAAATGCGCCGGCCAGGAAAATCTCCTCAACGATGAACCTCCGCACTGTTTGTGTTTTGCCAGTCACTTCCGGCGTTCCCGTGTCCGAGTTTGCACATAGACTTTCCACCGCTCTTCAACAGATCAGCACGCCTAATGGGGTCACTGTGCTCAACCAAGCCGCAATATTAAACCATCTCGGAAGACATGCATTTAGTAGAATGGGCAAGTTGAAACTTCAAGGCTATCTCGCGGATTTAGAGGAGAAGTACGGAATGGTCATCTACGTTGCTGATACGAGTGTCAACGCTCCATGGACACAAACTTGTATCAGTCAGGCGGATTCTATCTTACTCGTTGGTCTGGCTGAAGGAAGTCCTGCGATTGGTGAATACGAAAGATTCTTGGTTGGGATGAAAACCACGGCGAGGAAAGAGTTGGTACTATTGCATTCGGAACGGTACTGCCCGTCGGGATTGACCAGACAGTGGCTTAAGAACAGGATGTGGGTAAACGGCGGCCATCATCACATACAAATGTCCTTCCGGACAACGCCGGAGCCCGTCAACACACAAATGAGAAGGTTTGGATCGGCCCTGAAGCAACGAGTACAAATCCTGCAAGCCGAGATAACAAAATACACCTCGAAACGGGTGAGAAGTGCGCCAATATACTCAGCAGGAACTCCGGTCAAGAGCGATTTCCACCGCCTTGCAAGGAGGCTTTGCGGGAAATCTATAGGTCTAGTACTCGGGGGTGGTGGGGCTAGAGGTATTTCCCAAGTGGGTGTGATCCGAGCATTAGAAGAAGCCGGAATACCAATTGATATTGTTGGCGGAACTTCCATCGGTGCATTCGTCGGAGCGCTTTACTCCCGAGACGCAGATATTGTTCCCGTCCTCGGCCGGGCTAAGAAATTCGCCGGACGTATGGCATCCTTGTGGCGTTTCGTTCTGGACCTAACCTACCCATCTGTCTCCTACACTACTGGGCACGAATTCAACCGGGGAATCTTCAAGACTTTTGGAAACTCCCAGATTGAAGACTTTTGGTTGGAGTTCTACTGTAACACGACCAGCATAAGCAAGTCCCGCATGGAAATCCATACAAGTGGTTATGCCTGGCGATATATCCGTGCGAGCATGAGCCTTGCTGGGTTACTGCCTCCGCTCTGTGATGAGGGAGAGATGTTGCTAGACGGAGGATACGTTGACAATCTCACCGTGGCACACATGAAGAGCCTGGGCGCGGACGTAATCTTCGCAGTGGACGTCGGGAGCATCGACGATAACACCCCGCAGGAATTTGGCGATTCGCTATCGGGCTTTTGGGCCTTTTGGAACAGGTTTGTGTCACATACACGCTGCCTTGCAGGACGGGAGCTAAACTGCAAATTTCAGGTGGAACCCCTTCAGCCCGCACCCTAACCCTCCTACACTTGCCGAGATCCAGGCAAGATTGGCGTACGTCTCGAGTGTGGATGCGTTGGAGCGAGCAAAGCTGATACCTGGATGCATCTACATGCGCCCTCCGATCGACCCCTACGGCACTCTAGACTTTGCTAAATTCAACGAGATTTATAACGTTGGATACGAATACGGGAAGAAATTCCTCGAGGAGATGAAAGGTAAAGGTGTGCTTCCACCCGTAGCTCCGGGAGTGGCCGATGGGAAGAGAGGGTTCAGGAGGACCATGGCGCCGAGAAGGGCGAGTATCTAACTATGATTGCTTCCTCCGGGTGCACTTTATAGTTCTCTTCGTGTATTTTGTAGGGCTCCTAGCTTTAAATTTTAGCCATTTGATTCTATTGTTAGGGGCATCCGTCCGTCGCCAGAGCAGGCGGACACTCACCCAGGCTCTTCGGTAGTATCACTGTGCTCGAGCATGTTTAATTTGTCCGGGGGGTATTATTAAAAGCGAATTCCTTGACAAATATCTATATATGATAATACCGACTTTGCCGGGGAAATTATTAACAGGAATTAACATATCCCAGAAATTCCTCTTGCCCCATGATGCCATACAAAAATTGACATATTATGATAGCAGTACGGTACTACAAACCCCATGAAAACTTGAGGATATTTCTACGCTCTCTTTACCAAGAAAAGGCAGTGCCCTCCACCATACTGAAATGTTTTTCTACCATTTTTTCATACTGGCTACTTGTTCTCCCCTTTTTGCTACCCGACTAGTTCCTTCGACTGTTCAACTACTCGTAGCATCTGTAGAGAAGTCCGCATCTGCAAATACTTTTTTTTATTCATTTTCGGAGTGGCGGTTGGAAATCCTTCGGCGGGGGGGGGTCGAAGTCGAGCAATGTTTTCCCGGTAAGGTACTGGTACCGCTGCTACGGGCTCCCTTAGAGCACAAGTACCGGTATTCAATCCCCATTTTGCTATCACAGCACAATTGGTGTAGCTGAGAATACCGTACTTTATCGGGAGGCTCCGTCGCGCATGCTGCCGGCTTCCGTCGGCTGACGAAGAATTCCCAGGAGCGAAGGATGCATTAACGGTAGACAACCGGGTTACCTGCTACTCCTGGTGAGGATACCGGTACTGTACTGTACGAGTACCGTACTCGTGCGTCTCAGCTAAGATTTACCTCCTCCTTGCTGTATTTCGAGCAGTCGGTGTGGGCCAGCTCTTCTCCACCGAAGAAGTACTCGTATAGTGCACGACTACCAAGGGAATTGTCTACTCGAGCATAGATGCACGCAACAGGGGTTGACCATATAGTATACACTAATACGATCAAGATAGAAGCTCCTACCATACTTACCTATTACTTCTGCATACATCTACTGTACTCGAGTAGGGCAACAACAGTAGCTGCTTTAGTTGATATAGAGAAGGCTTCTGCCGTTAGGCATCGTGAATTGACTGCGTTGATGAAATTTCTCACGATACGGTACGTTTAACGCAATGTTATATTGGTACCATACTTGTACTACTACTGATACAACTATTTCTTTGGCCCACACACGCTACGACTGCTGCAGATGAGAGAAACCAGATCTTAACTGAGGGGCGCGAGTAAGAGTACCTGCAAGAGGTTTTGCAAAGCTGAGATACAGGTACTGTACTGTACCGGCGTCAAAGGAACAGGGTAATGCAAGTATCCAGCAAGTTATGATAATAGTGCCTGATAACAGGGATTAAATTTTGTTTCTCGTAGCAGGTTTTCTGATGATGCAGGTCTGAGCGCCCATACCAAATTCGTGCGCGGATTCTCAGGTATTCCTTGCTGGGTATGCTATGCGTAGACGGGTTTGTAGTGTCTCAGTTGCTGGGAGGGCTTGTTTTAGCTGTTTTTGGTTGCATCCGCCGCAGATGCCCGGGTTTGCTTGCCCGCTGGGAGTACTTACTTCTACTTGTAAGCTTCAACACGATAAATTTCGAGATAGGCGACCAACCCCGAGCTCTTATCACTTGAGTGCAGTAGGAAAAAATTACTCCATCTGTCATATGAGAGCCTCCGGCCCCCACCTTCCAACTACTCGAGTACTTATACTCCCCCTTCCTCCCCCTTGCCTTCACCACTCTTGTCTTCTCCCCCACCACCACCTCTCACGATGGCGTCAACATACTACCTCGGGACCTTCATCCAGAGTCGCTCCCAAACCAACCTCGAAATCGTCAAACATGGCACAATCCACGTCTCCGACGGAATAATCCGATCAATCCATCGAGTGGGAGAGGACTATAGCGAGTCAGACAGCCTCCTCCCTCCATCACAGCTCCTAAGAATGCTCGGCTACGACATCACCGAACCACTCACAATTTGGGAAATTCCAGAGAACCACTTCCTCTTCCCGGGCTTGATAGACACACACATACACGCAAGCCAGTACCCAAACCTGGGCTTATTCGGCAAGACGACACTCCTGGAATGGCTAAACAAGTACACATACCCGCTCGAATCCAGCCTAACCGATCCGGTGAGAGCGAAACGTGTGTATACACAATGCGTGAACCGCTCATTGCAGAATGGGACCACCACGGCAGCGTACTACGCAACGCAGAGCGCGCGGTCGACGAATATCCTGACGGACGTGCTCATTAACCTCGGTCAGCGGGGCTTCGTAGGACGCTGTGCGATGGATTCAGACCTACAACCGGAATCGTACCGCGACGAGAGCCCCAAGGCTGCGGTCCATGATACAAAGGTGTGCGTAGCGTACTGCAAAGAAGCAGACAAGAGTGGCAGAGTGCGCGGCATCATCACACCACGCTTCGCACCGAGTTGTTCGCGCGATGCACTCCGAGGCCTCGGCCGCTTACTCGCGGACGGTGAGAAGGATGGCCTCCTCTGCCAGACCCACATCTCGGAGAACAAGCGCGAGGTGGCACTCGTAAAAGGGTTATTCCCGGAGTGCAGTAGTTACGCCGAGGTCTACGATACGTATAACTTACTCACCCCCAGGACTGTGCTCGCGCACGGCGTTCACTTGACTGAAGAAGAGGTCGAGCTCATCAAGAGTAAAGGGAGTGGGGTTTCGCACTGTCCGACGAGTAACATGGCGCTGGGGAGTGGGAATATGTGGGTTAGGCGCTTGCTCGACAAGGGTGTTAAAGTAGGCCTTGGAACGGATGTTTCCGGCGGGCACGACGTGAATGTTCTTGAGGCGGCGAGGATGGCGTGTTTTGCTTCGCGGAGTGTGGCGGAGGGTGGGAAGGGTGAGAGGAGCAAGATTTCGGTAGAGGAGGCGCTGTGGCTTGCGACGAGGGGTGGTGCGGAGGTATTAGGATTGAAAGGAAAGGTGGGAGGTCTGGAGGTGGGCATGGTTTGGGATGCTATCCTCGTCGGCCTTAATGGGGTCCCCTTCAATCTGTGCGGGGAGGGGGACGTCAATGGGGCACCAAATGGAATCCATCACGGAGGGAAAGGGGCCAAAATCGGCGGCAAAGTGGACATTTTTGGGTGGGAGAATTGGGAGGAGAAAGTCGCCAAGTGGCTATACTCGGGCGATGATAGGAATATCAGGGCGGTGTGGGTTGGCGGGAAGTTGGTTTGCCGGAAGATGTGAGATGGCGGAAGGAGTTGCGGGGGTTGCTGATAGGAGGACGGTTTGAACCACCATAACCGGTACAATTCATTGTTTTGTTTTACCCAATCTTGCTCTACGCACTTTGATATTTTCCCGAGTGAAAGGAAGCAGCGGCTTGCATACCGTGAGTACCTGAATACCTGTATAGGAGAGATGTGCTATGATATATGACGTCGCAATCGCCCCTCGTAGTATTGCAAGGCACTGTGTAACTTATTTTTTATTTTTATTTTTCCCCTCAGCTGAGGGCTAAGTTCCCGGTAATATCTCCTCCCCTACAGTATCCCAGAAGGGGAATTCCAACGACCTTGCGCATTTCTCTTGTATTCGAGGACTCGTGGTACTGCGCAGTACCGTACTGGAGCGTGAATGCTCGCTCGTATATAATAATGCTCGCGGAAAGAGAGGCGACCGGAAACCGTCTCCAAATCTATCACTCGACAAACCTAGCATGAAGGACTGTTGGAACGCGCACATTAATTCGCACAACCAACCCACCATATGGCTCATCGACAGAACGCCTACCAATATGATGGGTTATAAAATTCTAGAATCCAGTGCGGGGTGTCGTTGCATACAAGTATCTTTTTCCTTTCTTTTCGGGGGGGGTGAGTCATACTTGGGACAGAGATTTCTATATAAAGAGGCCACTGTCCCTCGTTCACCACTCCCAGAGTAGGAGCGATATCGTCTCTACGGCACCCAGAGCACTGCCTCCGTCTGCCGTGATTGGTCCCTCGATTGCTTAATAATCAGCGCCGAGGCCAAGGTGCGCCATAATTGTCTACCTTCCCGACTAGGAAAGGTGAGATTTGATAAATTTGTTTTGCTACTAAAACCCCGTGTTTCACCTCACAGTTGACAATTGTTTAAGAGTAAGATTCTACAAAAAAATCATAACCGGTACCACTCCATGAATAGTGCTGGGCCAAGTCATTGCTCAGATAATTTTTGTGAGTATGATATTTTTCTAAGTGACTTGTGGTTTTTCTATAAGTTAAGTATTATAATACTGTTATGCTTGACTGTATTTCAAGTTATTGACATATCTTGTTGAATTTTTATTTATTTAACAATTAAAATTAACAAGTATGAAATAGGAGTCTCCTCTGCTACACTACTCAACTATCAAAGATCTTCTATCATACACCTCTTGTACTGGTTTAAATACTAGTTATATTCCTACCCAGTAAGTTATTTAAGGCTTAATTCTTCAATTATAAAATTTAAGGCTAATATATAGTGTTATTTAGAACCTATTGGTACTTAAAATTATTGGTACTATATTATTTATTACTTAGTACTAGGTAAATATTTAAAGTTTTTATAGTAATAGTATTTCAAATAATTAGTTTATTTTACACTAAATTATTATTTTCAAATATAGCTTACCACTAAATAGTCTCCTTATCCACTCCAGCTATTCTACATACCTTAACTTCTACCTACAATGCAGCTCAAAACTCTGAGGTTAAATCCTATAATAAATCCTTTATCTGATAATGATTTTAATCTTACTTTTCCAAATACTAGTTTCTCTATACCTTCTCAAACATCAGATTCTTTATTCAACTTACAGTTTCTACCTCTCTATGATCTCTCTCACCTACCAAAACTCAATGGCTCAGTCAACTATTTGCATTGGAAAATTACAGCTGAATACATCTTGCGACTATTCAACTGCTGGAATATTATACTTGAAAGGGAAACAGAACCAGTAAGAGCTAAGGATACCACTGGAAGGATTACCAACAATAAGGATATTGCAAGCTACAATAGTCGATACAACTATGCTTGTTACTTCCTTACAGCTACAATCAGTCCTTTTCTTCCTATCAATCAGTTATCAGACAAGACTCCATCTGCAATCTGGTTTATATTATATAACAGATTGAACAGTTCTAGTTCAGTTTTTTTTTATACTGAATTTCATTACCTCCTGACCCTTGAGCTTAAAATGACTACCACTACTGCTTTTATTAGTCATCTTATTTGCTTTCATACCTGTTGGATTTCACTACAACAACAATGCAACTCTGCACTACTGGAATACCAATTTGACAATTCTTTTAAAATCTCTACCCAGCTTCACCAATTTCTCAATTCCTTACACATTAAGGCAGAGCTGTTTCTTGATTCTCTTCCACTTTCTTTGGCTCTGATTATCAAAAATGTTTCAGATTATGAGATCTTGATCTTTGATATGAAGCCTGAAACTCTAATTCAACTTTCCCAATTACTTGACAATATTATACCAGGAAAATCAACAGGTTTTTAATATCTCTAATTGATTATTAAAGTACTTATGCTAATATGTTTAGGTGGAGGATAATCTTTGCAGCATGTTAATTTTTCTACTTTTTTTTTTTTTTTATCTTTGCTTCATTTTATTTTTGTTTATAATTTTTTTCTACTTTATTTTTCTACTTTTTTATAAAATTGGAATAAATTTCTTCTGTTATTCTGCTTTATTTTTCAGAATGTACTTTTCTTTTTTACATTTTATCAAATTTGATGCCTATTACTTTCTACTTATGATACTAAGAAAATTTTCTATCCAGTTTTAACTTTTCATTTTTATACTATAAAATCAAATTTATTCTTCTTTATTAAAAAGAATTACTTTAAGTAAATTTTGAGTGTTCTGTGATAGTGATTATTATATACATAACATTATATTAAATATAATAAATTTACAAAATATATATTTCTTATCAGAAAACTAATGGAATTGACTTGTAAGATATATTCTTACTCTGAGATTAAATATTTCTCTTTTATCTAACTTATTCCCACAGAGCATATTTGGTATATTAATTGTATTACTAGAAATATTGTATTTTATTATTATATTAAAAATAATCAAACATGTTAGACCTCAAAGTTAATATTAGGTATTTGTACTTTTCACATAGAAGTACTCTGCTATCTTTGAATATTCTAAAGCTTTGAATAATAAAAGTAAAAACTTTAAAAGTTAGAAAAAATTAGAAATTTGATATATATTTGCTTATCTTACTAGTATATCTAGGATTTAATATATTTCAGTATATTATAAGTTAATACCTAGTTATGAATCAGATAGTATTTGTATTAATTATAAAATTAGAAGAAAATAAGACAATAATACTTTTACTATTTACACTTATTTTATTTATACAGTAGGTACAATAAACTAGTATTCTATATATCAAATAATATTTAAAAAATCTTAAGTTTTAATATTTTTATTAAATCAATTAAAACTTGTACAAGTATAAGATAATTTCAAAAATAGTTACATAATATTATGTATTAAACCAATTATATTATTATTAGTATAAGTACTATAGAGAGACTCTAAAAAAGGTTTTTCTTTTTATTGGATTTAAATCTCAACTATATATGGCAAATTATTCAACTTACAAGTTCTACTTTTCTCTACAAATTTCAAGTAAGATACTGTCAAATATATTTACTTATATTTTAATAATAAAACCTCCAAATACCATTTATAATATTTCTTAAAAAAGCCAATCAGGAGAAGAAGTAAATTACTGAGTACTGTAAAGTACTCAAGTCAACTTCTGGACTTACTACTTACTGGACAAGTTAAATATATGATATTTCAAATACAAGTTTTAAGAACTACTATAATGGATATATCATATAGCCTACTTACTTATAATTAGAATAGCAGTTATTTAGGCCTGTTCAGTTGCACTGAGCCTATTTCATTTTTATATACAAATGATCATCTTTCTTCTATTTCTAAATAGATGAACTGAATGGCAGTTCAGCAATAGTAAATGGTATTGACCTTCTATTTCAGATATTGCCCTAAAATAACAGCTTCTTTGTAGAAACATCACATGTAAACGGTTGTTGTGCTAATAATATTATTATTAAATCAATAATTACTATTATGCAGAATGTGTTTTGTAGAGGATAATATTATCTACAAGATATCTTTTGTTTGAATTCCAATTTTAAACAAGTCAATAATTAGTATTCAAGCCAATTATAATAGCATTTATACCATAATCATCTATTAATTAATGCAAATTTCAAGCAGCATAGTAATTTATGTTAACTTCTTTCAGCCTAGAGAGTATGTATATACTTTCAGTATTATTGGTTGCTGATTTATCAAAGTAATCCTAGGAGCACATCCATGTTACCATTTGATAGAGTGTATAAATATTTCAATAACCACTTTCTTGGATCTTTAGGACGGGATAATTGAGTGTAGTTAATTTTCTTTTCTATATAATACTATTAAAGAGAAGCTTGTTTTGTTTTTATGGACTACATGTCATGGAGTATCAAATTCAAATATATAGAAGCAGTTTCCGGATAGCAGAAATATTATGTCATGGTAAGAAAATGTTTTATTTTATTATAAGTAGCTATTATTATAGTGTATTTAGTGTTTAATCTATTAACTTGTAGTTTCCTGTATTTTTTATTGTTAGAACTGGGAGTAGGAGCTAGGAGTAGTGAAAGTTGTAGTAGGTAAAAGTAATGTCTGAATTCTGGCAGGTTGTTGGTGAAGTGTTGAAAGTTTGAATTTGAGAAGAATTAAAGCTACTAGTAAAAAAAAGTTTCATGAGGCCCTTAGGTGAAATTTTTTCATGTATTTGCTACTAGTAAATAGTAGTTTCCAATTGGCAACAATTTCTGCAGGTCCATCCACATCACACTGGAATGGTCCAAAATAGGCCCAGTATAACTGGACTGGGTCTTAGTAATGAGGAGGAAAATGTATTCATTAACTAGATTGAGAGATAAAATAATTATAGTCTTCCTCTATACTATTCTGATGTATTTTAAATCAAGCATAGAATTTTAAAAAATCCAGAAGGAATAAATAGAATTAAAAAAAACTAGCTTGTAGGGTTTTTAGTTTACTATCTAACAGTTTAATTAAAAATTACAATAGTACTAGATAAGTAAAGGATACTTGCTATAAATTATAAATTATTTTATAATTGGAGCTCCCTCTGGGAAGATGGATCCTGTGGTTGTGATCATACTGAATTGAATCCTTCTGGGAATAAATATAATAAGATTTTAATACCTTAACAGTAGAGTTGGAAGAAATAAAATGGTAAAATTTAATATCATTAAGCTACTGCTTTATTCAATTGAGTTCTGATCTCAAGAGAAAGTTGTTTGCCAGAGTAGAGGAGAACTCACATATACTTTAGTGGATTTCATATACTGTCAGTTGCTTCCTATTACTACTTTGTATTCATGAGCACTCAACTCCCTTACACTGT